GCACTGGTTTACATTTCGCATGATATGGTAAGGAGCTGCGAGAGAGAAAAAGCAAGCTGGAAAAGCACGTAGCTAGCTGGAAATGCAAAGATCGGTCCATCTCATATAACAGGACGTGTGCTCTTGGTGGTGTTGTGGTTGGTGGGGCCCCGGGGTCTGAACCGACCACACGTGGAGCCCCCTGATGGCCTGAGGGAGTCTGGCTGCTGTGGCATGCAGTGGGTTGTCTGTTGCAGCCCTCTGCTCACTGAGACAGGCGGCATTATAAGCTGCTTCCCACTGACACACACTAAACCGGCTCCTTCAATGCCAGAGGCACAGTCCAGCTGGGATGCAGTAGGGGGTGGGCGGCCCATCTTGAGGTAAAAAATGGCAGGTTTTGATATCTTTATTAATGTGTTATAGGGAGGAGTAACTGGTGGAGTCTCCACTTCTAGTCTATTGTTGGCAGCATTACATGCAATTGTTGTTCTGTAGCCATAGGTTGTGCAGGTTAGTCAAAATTACTAAAACAAAATCAGTGGCAGGTATAACAGAACTGCTTGACATATTTGAACAATTACTGAGAAATACACAATGAACCCACAGGTAAACAACTTCAATAAATCACATTATGATACTGATTTACACAGAGTAAACAAAACATTATGCTATGGTAATGACTAAAAAAAACTCTGAATCACCCTTTAACAGGATATTCCATGTTAAATAAAAGTTAAGCTTATATGTGACAATCACAAACAGCCACAGAAAATAATTTGAATTGTCCTTCAGTTTTTAAAAACTAGTAATAGAGTACCATTCAAAATCAAAAGCAGTCATTACTCCAGTATCCAGTGTCACACGATCCTTCAGAAATAATTTTAATGCTGATGTGGTGCTCAAGAAAAACAAAAAAAAACTTTAGAAAAATACTTCTTATAATCACTGTTTAAAAAGAAAAAAAATGTGCTTCTTAATATTTTTGTGGAAATCGTGATTTTTATTCAGGATTATTTGATATATAGAAAGTTTAAAAGAACAGTATTTATTTATGAATAAATTTACTTTGAATGGTAGTATATGTGCAATGGAAGGTTTTTTTTTTTGTTGTTTGTTTTCTGACTACATATAGGTGTATGCACCTGCACATTGCTGTACATTAAAACATGATGGCTCTCCTCTGAAAACACGTTACATACATACAGTGTGGCGTAAATGATACCACTAGTGAAAATGCTTTTAAATGGCATTTTATGTTCATTGCATTCTGAATTTATCAGCATAACAACTACAGCGAAATGCTGAAGTGAAAAAATTCAACATTTCAGAATGTTTCAGTACTATTTGGTTTGCCCCCCTTTTGCTTTAAAAACAACAGCCTTAAGCTGCACGAACTCCATCCACCTAAAGAACATGTTCCCCAGCATGATTCGAGATTATTCAAAGAGCATCTTGAGCTTCTGTGGAAAACATCTGACCGTCTGTACACATGCTCACGTCACAAACTTACTTATTTTAGAAGTGACCTAGAAATTAAGACTTATGAAGTTGTCATGTTTATTGTTTTAATAATAAAAAAACTGAAATGTTCTGTTTAACCTTCCAGGTTAAAATTAATGCCAGATTTTCACTGAAGTCTCAGAGTTTTGGACCCTACTGTATGTTATACAAACTGAAAACGTTGCACTACCAAAAAGTGAGTGAAGTAATATTGATTTTCTGTAAGCTTTACTGTACATAAAAAAAGAGTCTCCTTTGAGAATGCAGCACATCGCAGAAAGCTATATACTTTTCTTCAGGCTGAATTGAAAATGACATATATGTGAAATATCCAATGTCTGTGAGTTTCAAATACAGCATGTAATGTGCACATACACTGTACGTGCAAGAACATACAAACCATCAGCCAGCTCTTTCTCTCTCTCTCACACACACACACATACAATCTGTCTCTCACTTCCACCTTTTCAGTTCTTTATCCTGTCTGCTACAAATCCACTGAGGTGTGATAGTAAGGGTTTAAACTCCTCATTGTTCCAGATCAGCTGACCTGTATGGCAGTCTCCTGAGCCCAGCCCTCACCCCATTACCTCTAAGAAAAAGTGGAGGGGGAAAAAAACACGACATAAAGTGAGAGGGATGAAAAGCAAGGGATGGAAGAAGATGGGTACAAAGGGCTGAGACTCCCACATCTGGTGAAGGAGGGGGGAACAAAGTCTGTTCATCCCTTTCAGATGGAGGGGTTAAAGGAACTGGCATATCTGCGCATGAAAAGCTGTTAAATGCTTCAGTGCTTTGACAGTGTGTGATGCCAGGAGCGGCGTCGCTCCCGCGGGACAGAGCGTCAAGATTCACCCCCCTCCCCCCAACCCCACCAGCACTTCTCCCAGACGGGCTTTCCGCGAAAATATGGAGAATGAATAAAGCACAATAAATAACACCTAATAAGACAAAGAAAATAAACGGCAGGTTGTTTTGATGCCTTCCATTGAAAGCGTACCTTTTATTCGTCATTTACTTCAATACTAAAAAATTCAGCTATGTTGCTAAAACACAAACCCTGCAACCATCAAAAACTGTCAAAGCATTCATTGTTTGATTTCACATCATGTTTAGATTTCCTGAGATGTTTGTTAGCTGCAAATCCAGCCATAAAGAGGCATGTGACTGTGCGTTGCTATAACTGACTAATAGAAAAACAACTATTTCAATCATTAAATTTTGCCTACGGGTTTCTGGTACAGTGTTGTAAGTACATTATTTATATACTCATAAGTGTCTGAAATACATTACAGTCACTTTCCAGCAATACACACTTGCAGTGCCCCTGGTAATGTGTTTGAAGGATTGTTGGGCCCTATATCTGTGGACCTGAATTAAGCGGCCCCATGGACATAGGGACAATTATTGAGCCCTGCTGCTACCTCATCCTGTATTTACAGTGGGAAAATGAGGGAAAGCGTCTGCTGCTTGCAAAAATTAGTGAATTGTGGCAGGAACGTGAATTAAATGGAAGAGAAGCCCTAATGAGTCCATTCAAAAATGGACGCTGACGTCTCTACAAGGAGCCACAATAAGTGAGTCAATTACTGATCTGTCGATACTTGGCATAACATCAGTAGAAAAGGGAGAAGAAAAAAAAAAGGAGTAAAACGGTGATTGTTACAATCTTTAAAATATGAGAGCATTTGGCAAATGGTGCATTTAAAACTCAAGATGCCTGGAGGTAAGGAATATTTATATGTGACCCTGAACCACAAAACCAGTCATAAGTAGCACGGGTATATTTGTAGCAATAGCCAACGATACATTGTATGGGTCAAAAT